TGCTGCAACTTTTTTTGGTGTTTTAAACTTCTAATTTTAGAATGCTTTTCAAATAATTATAGCCTGGGAATAACTAAATTCCTCCCACCTTCTAATTATGAGGGCAACAAGTCACTGAGTTTTGTATTATTACTATTCTAAACTAAATTTACATTCTTTGATGAATTTAAGTTTCATCTTATAATTGTTTTGTTTTTGAGGCTTATGGCCATGTAAAGTTTTCTTATCCCTTATGAGGGGTTATGAGCTTTACATGGTCAAAACTTTTGAAAATAACGTCAAATGCTAAATATGCAATTTATTATTTCATTTACTTAGAACTATATCAAAATGGGAATTGTACCAACTATCACCTATAGTCTGTATTGGAAAATGTAATAGAGTCAGAGCAGAGGCCTGGCAACCTTTTTTTTTTTTAATAAATTATTTTAAAGAGTGTTTTGGTGGAAAATAAAGAGTGAAAATATTGGAAGAAACAAATGTTGTGGGTATGTGTTTGTGGCTCTTTTTTAAATTAATTTACATCAGTCTTCCTCAGTCATCAAAATTTATACATAAGAAAACTCATTTCGCCTATTTCTTATTAATGCTTTAATTTGAATAAATAATTTTTTGCTTCTTTTTACAAAAATTATTTAGATGCTTGATCTTTTAAACGTATAAAACAATAATATTAAAATGCGCAGACTTTGTATTATTTGAATATTTTGTCAACCTTTTGTTCTTTATATATAAAAAACAAGCTATTAAAATAAAATTATCATGAAATAAAAAAATTATTAATGATAAAAGTTTTTTTTAGTTTTAATACTGTATACAAATTTGTGTATTTTGTGTTTATTTATAGTTGAATCTTAAAAAATTGTAATAAAGAAAATTGAGAAAACCTGTAATAAAAAAAATTGAGAAAACCAAAAAGGATCATTTTAGATGGTGATTGTTATGTAATAGACTTTTTAAGTGTATCTAAAGTAAGACATGTACCAAAGTGATTACTTCTTTGTAATTGAAAGAAATAATCTGTTGAAATCAAACTAGTACACCCTCGTGTATCTGTTGCCTTGAAGTTCAAAATATTATCAATTATGTAACAGCAAGCCTGTTGCAAAATAAAGGATCTTTTAAAGAATATGACAATTTATTTAAAATATTTTAAATTAATTCAGTAGAACACATTTTTTTTTTAACAATTTATGAATTAAGTAGACATAAGTAGCCTCTGGTTTTATATAGATTTGTTTTGTGTTAAAAACTTGTATATATATAAACTTTTAGAATAATAAGTATTTTATCAATATGAATAATATTTTGTTTAGTTATTTAATAAAACCTTAAAAAACCCACCCCTCAATTTTGCATCAAAGCACTCTTTAAAATATCTATTTTAATAAAATAAAATAAAAATATATATAATGCTACCATGGTACCCAGGCCTCTTTTCTGTTTTTTACATTTTCCAAGATAAAAAATCGAAATAGTTTTTCCAAGATAACAATTCATTTTTATAACCAATTTATTAGAGTCATCATCAAAGGGCAACAATCTTCTTCATTTTCAGTAACTTCTGGGGTAACTCAAGGTTCTCTCCTTGGTCCTGTTTTATTTCTTACTTACATTGATGATCTCCTTGGCAACTATCTAAAGTGGCTTTATTTGCTAATGACTTGAGTTTATGCTCCTGTCTTGAAAACAAAAAGTCTTCTTTTTTCAATTGCTTTTTTTAACAGGCAAGCTGATCTTGAATCTGATCTCACTTCTGTAACAGATTGGGGCTTGCAGTGGTTTGTGAATTTTAACTCCAACAAAACTCATTTACTGCAAACAACTCACAATACTGTCAACGAGGGATGCGGAATCTCAAAAAGGACTCCGGATTCGAAAGTCACAAAAGATTACTTCATTCTAGTTTTTGGTCTCCAGGAGCTCTAAAGATATAAATAAGTTTATAGACTACTATTAGGAAAAAAATTTAGACTTTCAGGTTAGAAGAACAATCATTTTTTGAACCCAGAGTCCTTGGTATAATGGTGGCAAGGACTCCAGGACTCCGGGCTTAAAAACAATAAGTCATTAAATCTCATGAATTTTTTTCTTATAGCAGATCATAAGTCAACAAACATGTTTAGAGCTTCTGGACACTACAGACTTGAAAAAAGTTGAGATATAAAGCTTAAATCCTTTTGGGACTCCATTCATCAATATTGAAATGTTGACAGCATCCCTGCTGTCAACATTTCTATATTGATGAATGCAACCCTCTCACTGAGTCCTCTTTTTTATGTTTTATTGGATTATTATTCACTACTGACCTCTCATAGAAACCATACATGCAATTGATTGCTAAGTTAGCTTCTGATTCTATTTATCTTACTCACCATTATCTTTCTCCTGATTCAATTTTCTACCTCTATAAATCTTGTACTCATCCCTGTATGGAATACTGTTGTCTTATTTGGGTTGGTTCTTCTAATGATACTTTTTCTCTTCTAGGCAAGGTCCAAAAATGCATTGTAAATGTTGTTGAACCTGCTTATCTGCCAACCTTGAGCCTCTCTTCCGTCAAGCCTTCCAAGGAGATGCGTGCGGTTTTTCTTGTTTGTCCACACACAAGTTTTTTATGTGGATAAGAAATTGCAAATCATAAATGATAATGTAGCAACTATGTGTAATGCAAAAAAAAAAAAAAAAAAATCTTTTGAAATAGTAAATTTAATAACAACCACCCTTAAAAAAAAACAAAAAAAAACAGTACACAAATTATTTAAATTAATAATTTTTTTGATTTTTTTAATTTAAATTTCCTATTTCATTTTGCTTTCATTATTTTTGAAACTTAGTTTTTACCGCAAATTACGAAAAGGCTTAATATAATAAAACCTACAAATGGTCGTGACCAAGTTGTATAAAAAAAAAACTTTTCTATGGACATGTGAGACAAAAAACTGCACGTGTCTCCTGGGAAAGGGATGCGCACCATTTTTTGCTTCTCTTTCACTTTTCTACAAATATTATCATGATCGCTGCTCAAAGGAGCTATCATCTCTAGTTCCATCAACCAAAACTCATTCTTGCTTGACTAGTCATTCAGTAAAGTCTCATCGTTTTGATGTATCTGTCCCCGCATGTTCTAAAAATTTTTATATGTTTAGTTTTTTTTACCATACCTAAACACTTTGGAACTTTCTCCCATCTTTATGTTTTCTTGACTGAGAAAACCTAAAGAGCCTATATAGTCAGAGAGCGGATGTTTGATTTTTATTGTTTTTAATGCCATGATTTTGCCAAAAAAAAAAAAAAAATGTGAGTGAACTTGCTACTAAATTTTTGTAAAATATTTATAAAAGTTTATAAAAAGTAATGTGAATGTAATAAAAATTCATGAAAAAGAATGTGCTTTAGTTCTTGCTGAAATGTCAATAATTGAAAGTGTTAACTATGATACATATCAAGCTCATACTATGAAATTGTTAGATTACCTTAGCATGGCCAAGTTCACCATACTTTAGTTTTTATGCTTAGAGGAATATCTACGAGATGAAAATAAACTGTAACATATTATTATAGTGAAAGTTTTGTTTATAAATGTGCAAATAACCAGTCAATGTGAAGATCTTTTAATATAAGTTGTACTTAAAGTTTAAATAAACATCCATGTGACTCAAGTTGTTCTATTGATTTTTTAGTAAATGTGCTACATTTATTAAAGAATACAAGAACATCCCTCTTATGTAACAAACCTTTCAGAATTACAGCTGGAATTCAAAAGTTATACATACTTATATCACTAGTTTTAGGTTCAAAATTCCTGCACAAGATGGTTGACATTCTAAATATGGATTTGAGTTACAGCTAAGATTCAAAAAAAGATATATACTTTTATCACTAGTTATAGATTCAAAATTTCTGCACAAACTTGTTGACTTTCTGAATATGGATTTAAAGTTTACTTTTAATCTTAGCATCTTGATGAAAAACGTTTCAACAAAACGCAATTTTTTTTAAATTTTTTTTCTTTTTATTCACCTCCTCAAGGCCAAGAAGGCCACTACAGGCGAGAAGGCTACTTAATAGTGGTTATATCAATTATCAAGAACTATTATCAAGAATATTATATTGAAATAAATATGCAATAGTGGTGTAGTGGTAAAATGCTTGCTTTATAAGCGAGAGGTTCCGATTTCGATCCATACCACGTCCCTGGTAGTACTGCGCTCAACTTGTTTCTCTGCGCAGCGGCCTTGTTTGTCAGGGTTCGTGTTTTGGAGTTGTAGAGTTTAGAGAGGGTTATAACCACTTTTAAGTAGCCTCCTCATCTGTAGTGGCCTTCTTGGCCTTGAGAAGGTAGAGTGAAAATGCAAGTTGTGAATTTAAATTTATTTGAAATGAAGAAGATGATAGATATAAAATACTTATCATCTTTTTTATTTCGAATAAAAAAGATGATAAATTTTTTATAACTGCTTAATTTAACTGGATTATTAATAAATGGTTTATACTTATGACATCACAAAACCCTGCTATGGCTTTTAGTATAAAAAATCATTAAATTTATAATGAAACAAAAGCTTTTTTCAAGGAAACTATAGAGGTACTAAGTGAATTACATGTATTGAGCCAAAGAAAAAAATAAAGGTGGAAACTTATTCCATCTGGT